TATCTGTTCAAATCCTTTGCCCAGTCTTGAATTGGGTTGTTTGTTTTGCTGTTGCTGAGGTGTAGGAGTTCTTTACATGTCTTTATGCTCAGAATGGAACATAATGGACCCTGCTTAGATACAGGATTTGCAACTATTTTCTCCCACTCTGAGCTGTCGTTTCCTTCTCATAATGACGTCCTTCGATGCACACGTGTTCTTAATTTCGATGAAGTTCTGTGTGTCTACTTTTCCCTTCCTTGAAATTTTTGTGGGCTTTTGACAGGGTTCTCGAACTTGATTTAGCCAAAACAGAACTAGCAAGCTACCCTGCACACCATCTCTCAGGCCCGCCCCCAGCACGAGGGCTCTGCCCTCCATCCTTGCCACCGCTCCATATCACCATCAGTGCTAACCACCACCCTGCTGAATCTTGCTTGTTTCGGGGCCCCTTCCCTCCCCACCTGGCCCCCACCCTTGTGGAGCCTCCACCCCGTCTCCACTGCCCCACTTCCTCTATGCTCCATGAGGCTTTTCCTATCAGGGTTATGGTATCCACTAGACCCAGCCCAAGTCCCATGGCACTTTTAGGGGCCTGTAACATGTTTAAATTTCTTTTAAAATTGGAAACCCGCTCTGGCCGGTTTGGCTCAGCGCATTGGCCAGCGGACCAATGAATCGTGGATTCGATTCCGGTCAAGGACACATACCTTGATTGCCACCAGCCCTGGTTGGGGTCGTGCAGTCAGCAGTCACTCTATGTGTCCCTTTCACGTCGATATCTCTCTCTCTCTCTCTCTCTCTCTCTCTCTCTCTCTCTCTCTCTTCCTCTCTCTCCCTCCCACTCTGTCTGAACAGAAAAAGTGGAAAAATGTCCTCAGGTGAGAATAAAAATAAATAAATAAAATTGGAAGCCCACCCTGGCCGTTTTGGCTCAGTGGTTGGAGTGTTGGCCCATGGACCAAAGAGTCTCGGGTTCAATTCCCAGTCAAGGGCATGTACCTGGGTTGCAGATTCCATCTCCAGCCCCGGTTGAGGTCGTGTGGGAGGCAACCAGATGTGTTTCTCTCACGTCGATGTTTCTCTCTCTCTTCCCTTCCACTCCCCCCCTTCCACTCTATCTAAAAAAAAAATCAATGGAAAAATATCCTTAGGTGAGGATTAAACAAACAAAAAATCTCAAATCAGATCACGTTGCCTTCTTTTGAAGGCACAAACCTTTCATGGCTCCCCAGCACCCTCTGAATGAATGCAGAGTCCAAGGCCCTGGTGGTCTGCCCCTTCGTGCTTACCATCTCCTCTCTTCTCTATCGCTTGTCCACTCCCCCTCTAGCCTCCTCTGTGGTCCCCAGTCTCAGAAGCTTTGTCCCCTCCCCTGGGCCTTTGAACCTGCAGTTTTCTCCAGCTGAATCAGTTGTTGCTTAGGTAACCCCCACATCATTCATTTTAGGGGAGGCCCTCCAGGACGATCCTCTGAACCCCAAGGCCTCCAGCCAAGGTCAGGTTCCTTGGTGAAAACTCTCCTGAAAAGGAACTCCTCCACTTCTCCCAAATTGTCATTTGGCTTCCTAATACGGCATCAAGGTCTCTCCCTCTTTGCAATGGTGATGTTGGGCCGGGTCACTCTCTGGGGGGGACCGTCCTGGGTACTGTGGAGTGTCAAGAAGCATCCCTGGTCCCCACCCACTAGATGACAGGAACACTGCCTCAGTGTGACAACAGATGTCCCCAGATATTGGGAAATGTCTCCTGGGGACAGAATCACTCCTGGTTGGGAACCACATTCGAGTGGCAATCAGATAAATGCCTGCCTCCCCAGCTATGCTTGCACCTGTCCCGCCATCCCTTCCCGGGACATCAAGGCACATACTCGAGGCAGAATGGACAGCACTAGTCAGCCATGTCCCAGGAATGGAGCTGCATCGGCTGAAAGAGCAGATCTCAGTACAGCTGTGCAAAGGACTGATTTATATCCCCCCCAAATCTCCGTGTTGATGCCCTAAACCCCAATATGATTGTATCTAAAAGCTTTTAGATGAGGCTTTTAGGAGGTAAGCTTAAATGAGGTTGTAAGAGTAGGGCCCTAATCTGATAGCACTGGTGTCTTTATAAAAAGAGGAAGAGAGAAAAAAATCTCTCTACAACACTCACAAAAGAAAGGCCACTGGAGGACAGCAATAAGGCGGCCATCTGCAAGCCAGGAAGAGCATTCTCACCAGAAACAGAATCCACTGCCACCTTGATCTTGGACTTCCCAGCCTCCAGAACTGTGGGAAATAAATGTTTATTGTTTAGAAGCCGCCAGGTCTGTGGTGTTTGGTTATGGCCGCCTGAGCTGACTCAGCTGCATTCTGCTTTGACTGGGCAGCCTAATCCTGACAAAGATAATTTTCATATCAACCGAGATTCATTGAGCAGCTACTGTATGATAAGAGCTGTGCAGGGAATGAAAAAGACTAAATCCCTGCCTTGCACAGCTGACACTCTAGTGGGGACAATAAGCACATAAATGGAAATATAAAGACAGAGATATTATTTTTAAGAGAAATATAGAAGGGTGAGTGAATGGATAATAGGACATTTTAGCAAGGTCCACAACAGCCTGTCTGAGGAAGTAATATCTGAACTGGAGGAAGTGAGGGGACAGCTAGAGGAAGATCCTGCAAGGCAAAGAGCACAGCCCAGGCAAAGGCCCCGAGACAGTCTAAGGCCTAGTGTGTTGGAGGAACAGAGAAGAGGCCTGTGTGGCTGGAGCAAAGTGAACAAGGAGGAGAGAGAGAAAGTGAGGGTAGGGAAGGGATGGGAACAGGTTGCACAGGGCCATGTGGGCCAAGGAGAGGACCTGGGCTTTTACCACAAGGGAAGTGGGAGCCCTGGAGGGCTGTAGGCAGAGGAGGGATGGGATCTAAGTCAAGATTTGAAAGCCTATCAGCTCTGCAAGGGGAGAGATTTTGGTCCTCCCTGGTCACTGCTGTCAGCCTCCACTTAGAATCATACTTGGCACACAGTAGGTGCAATAAATGTTTACTGAGAGAATGAATGAATAGTAGTTTCATTGGGGGTGGAGAGAGGGGGCAGGGATCAAGAACAGTAAAATCACATGGTTCCTGGTCACCCAGCCAGGTTATGGCAGGCCAGGGGCTGAACCCAGAGCTGGACAGCTGAGGCCCCAGCTCCGCCAGACCTATCAGAGGGAGTCCCCGTGCCCGAATGGTGGCCACCTGTTTCTTCCCCTGCCTGTGATTAATGGCCATGCAGCCCCATCCATCACTTGCCAGCCAGCGCCTAGCTCTGCCCGGGAGGCCCTGGGGCCCAGCACTCATTTGTAAGCAGGCGGCCAGGCTGGTCTCAGATGGTTGGTGACATGAGACAGATCCCTGCTTCAATTTGGCCCCAGATGTGGCCCTGAGAACCCCAGGGGGAGGAAAGACCAGGATGTGGACCAAAGGGGTTGGGAATGAGTAGGGTCTGAGGGATATGGAATGGCAGCCACCCAGACAGTAAGGTCTTAGAAAGCCCTGATTCTCCTCAAATTAATTACATAATCAAAACTGTTCCCTTCTTGGTCGCAGAGTTCCACTCTGCCTTTCCTTCTGCCACTGTGTTCTGTTCTTTCTACTCCCAAAAGAAGTTCCTTGGCACAGTGGGCCCAGCCCAGCCTGCCCCTCTCCTGAACCTCAGTTTGGGCATCCCCTGATCTACTGGCCTCTCTCCTTCCCACCACCAGCAAAACCTTCTATCCCTCCGCACTGTCAGTATCTCTATTGCTCTAAACCAGGGCTTCGCAACTGGGCCAATTTTGCTACCCTCCCCCCACCCCCAGCCAACTGACAATGTCTGCATACCTTTCTGCTTCTCAGGATTAGACAGGGAGGTGCTCCAGCCAGAGTGGGTGAGGCCAGGAATGCTATTCAACACCCCACTATGCCCAGGAGAGTCCCCCACAAAGAATAATCCAGGCCAGAATGTCAAGAGTGAAGACGGAAACCCAGCTCTATAACCTTCCTCGGCTCTCCAGGTAAATCCCATCTCCTCTCCAGAAGGCAGATCCCACATTGCTCTGGCCCCTGGCCATCTCCAGCCCTTATCCCACCATGCCCTGCCTCATGCCCCATCTGGAAAGGCAGTAATGCAGAGTCAAGGGTTTAAGTACCTGGGTTCACTTCCTGGCTCTGCACCTACTGGCTGTTGATTTTGGCCACATCACTTAACCTCTCTGTGCCTTAATTTCCCCTTCTTTCATGTAATAATGCCAGTACCTAGGATTAAAATGCTTAAGGGAGAGCCTAGCATGTAGTAAAAATGTATACAGGTGAGTTAGTTTGTTATTATTCATAGTTTGGGTCACACTTCTGGGCTTTGCTATTTGCCGAAAGGCCCTTTTTTCTAAAAATTACTTTCTCATAATTATTCTCCTTCAAAGGCAAAGCCCTGAGTCCCTCGCTGTGGCCCAGCCCTAATCCCACTGTGCTGGGTGTGTCTGTGATCAGCTCTGGAGTCTGTTAAAATGGGAGTGTTTGGTCACCAAGTGCCTTAATACTGGGAGGTGCTGCTCAGGTGAGGGTCAGATGTAGGTGGCCTCCCAGGAGAACTGGTGTCTGGTCCCCATGGTGTGTGGGAGGTGTGTATTGGGAGCAGGTCCAGCTTCAAGGACAGGTAACTCATCCACTCAAACAGGACCCTGTCCTCTCCAAGGAAGGACCCTGCCCTTGGTTTAATGCTCTGTTATCACCATCTCGAAATTCCTAATCATTTTTTAACAAGAGGCTATACATCTTCATTTTTCCCTAGGCCCCCAAAATTCTGTAGTCCATCCCAATCGGGGACTCTCATATGATTTGTGGGGTCTGTGTATTCCAGAACCTGACTGGAATATTGAAGAACTTTCCAAAAGTTTGCTCCTTTTCTTTTACAGCATCAGGACTGGAGAGGCCTTGCATTTTTGCAACTGATCTTTGGCCCCATCGGATCCGGTCATCATTTAGTAGGTTGACATTTTGCTCATCATGCTTTTTTCTTCCTAGTTGAGAGCGAGAACGCAGTCCCCCCACTACCACAAATTATGCAGTTTCCCACATTTGGGGAAATTGCAGGGGTCAGCACATCTGGAGTGCAATGGATAAGCCTTGCCTTGGATAAACCACCTTCGTGATCATGGTATCTCCCGGCCAGGTAAGTATCATAATCATACACTTTTATTAAATTTAGTTGGGTAACACTGGTTAATAACATTACATAAACTTTAGGTGTACAACATTATAATGCAACATTTGTATATTCCTTTGTGTGCTCACCACCCAAAGTCTAGGTTTCTTCCATCACCATGAATTTTTTTGCATTAATTTTTAATTTAATTTTTTTTCACACTTCTGTGTGGTTTTTTTGTGTTTTTTCTTTATTGATTTGAGAGAGAAAGGAAAGGAGAGGAGAGAGAGATAGAAACATCAATGAGAGAGAACATCAACTGGCCACCTCCTGCATGTCCCCACTGGGGATCAGGCCCACAACCTGGACATGTGCCCTGACTGGGAATCAAACCGGTGACATCCTGGTGCATGGGTCGACGCTCAACCACTGAGCCACACCGGTCGGGCTAATTTTTAATTTAAAAACTATTGCATTAAAATATTATTTATTTGAAGGTGGGATTTTTTGGTGGGAGAAGACTTTACATTTTGCTTAATCATTTCACCCTCATCCTAGCCCCTCATCTGCCCTGGAAAAGTGACTGGGTCCTAACTTTCAATTTTATAGATGGGAAAACCCAGAGCTCAAAAAAGTTATTCATCTGTAGAGGGCAAGCTGCATAGTTGATGATGATGATATAAGAATTAAAAGACTGTGTATTTAACACTTGCCAGGGCAGTAACATGCATTATTTCAACAGCTTTCTCTGATCTCTATATGGCAGGGAGAGACACTCTATCAAAGCTGAGTCAGTTCCTCTGCCCACAGCCATCATGGCTCCCACTTTCTTCAGAGTAAAATCTCAAGTCCTTCCTGTGGCCCACAAGGCCCTGCACCATCTATCTGTCACCAGCTACAGAATTTGTAGGACCCAGTGCAAAATGAGGCTTCTTGTTAAAAAATAATTAGAACTTACCAGACCGCAACAGCAAATCATGAACCCAAGCACAGGCCCTTCTAGGAGAAGGGCCCTTGTTCTAATGCTGGAAGCCGCTAGCCCTGCCTCCTTGCCCTCACTTCCTCCCAGGCTCTGTTGAGCCCAAAAAACGGGGCTGCCTGTGGGCCTTTGCACTTGCTGTTACTGCCTCCTTGAATAAGCCACCATATTCCATACCCTTATTGGCTCCCTCTGTCACCTTCAGGTCCTTTTGCAGGCAAGGAGGCCCTGACTTTCTCTTTAAAATTGTACCTTCCTGGCCCTCCCCACTGGTTTATTTTCTCCATAGCTGTTACTAACATCTGATCTGTCAGGATGGGTTCCACTATTTATCTGTCTCAAGTCATCCCCACCACGGTTGGGACTTTGTACACCCCCACACCCACGTCCTGGAGCAGGGCCTGGCATACAGTAGGCGCTCAATACATGTGTGTTGCAGGTATAATCCCTGCCTTTCCACAGAAGAGGATAAGGAGGTTCAGAGAGAACAGCCAGGGAGCCAAGGTTACAGAGCACGTCCCTGGCATGAGTCCAGGTCTCCCCATGACAGCGCTGGCAGTTTAGCTGGGGGCCGCCGGGCCCCTTTTTTTGACAGGGAAACCGAGGCCCAGGTGGCTACTAGGGCCGAGGCAGAGCAGAGCCCAAGGTCACCGAGCCGGCGGCCCGCGAGAGGCGGGCTGGGTGGGGATCCGCAGGCCTCCCCGGGCGCGCGCCCCCCCCTCGGCGGCGCGCACGGGGCCCGGGCGGCAGCAGCAGGTGGAGTCGGAGCCTCCGCGCAGCCGAGGCCGCGGCCACTGCCGACGTCGCCGCCATTAGACAATAGGAGCGGCGGCCCGGCGTGCGAGGAGGCGGGCGGCGGGAGGGGCGCCGGGCGCGCAGGAAGCGGGGCCCGGGGCGCGCCGGGGCCGGGCGCACGGGGAGGGGGTGCAGGAAGCGGTCGAGGCCGGGCGCGGGACGCAGCGGCGGCGGCCCCGGGAGCTGCCGATCGGCGCCGGGACAAAGGCGCGGCCGCCCGGCGCCCCAAGGCGCCGGAGCCGGGGCGCACAGCCGGGGCGCAGCCCGCGCCCCCCGCAGCGACTGACATGATGTTTCCACAAAGCAGGCATTCGGTAAGCGGGGCCCGCGGCCCGGCGCCCTCCCCCCCAGGTTCGGGCCCTGCGCACCCCCCAGCTCCCGGCTGGGCCATCCCCCCCACCCCGCTCCCGGCCCTGCGGGCCCCCAGGTCCTTGCTTGTCTTCCCCTCTCCAGGTCCGGGCCCTGCGCCCCGCAGTTCCCCGCCCGGCCCTCCCCCACCAGCTCGGTGCTCGGCGCCTCCCCCCAACTCCAGGGCCCGATCCCCTCCAGCTCCCGGCCCAGCGCTACTCCACCCCCCTCCCCCAGCTCCCCAGACTTTTCCCCCACTGTAGCTCCTTGCCCCTCTCCCAGCTTCCGGGACCGGGGTTCCCCCAGCTCCCAGGAGGGGTTTTCTCTCTCTTCTCGCCTGGACCCCACCCCAGTCCCTGAACCCTGCGGCCCGCCCCCCACCGAGCCAAGCAGGGCCGGGGTGGCCTTGGCCTCGGGAGCCCCGGGAGCCCCACCAGACAGCTCTAACGCCTAGACTGCCTTCGGGGCCTGGGAGCGGGAGGAGATTCGAGGCGCACCCCTCCCGGAAGAGTGCGGCCTGGAGGAAGGGTGCTGGGAATCTGGGGTGCCCCCAGTTAAATTTCAGGCGCTGAAAGAGGCCCCTCACCCAATGGGACTTTGCGGGGAGGCCTCGCCACCCCCATACTTGGGGAGAGGGATTCCCTAGGACGCGTTCTACCCCCCCCCCAGGCAGTTGAACGCTCGGGTGTGCGCCCCCATTCCAGGCGCTTTGGAGCGGCGGTAGGGGGCGCACCCTGCCAACCCCCTCCCAGCCAAGGGCGGGCTTTGAAATGCACCTCCACAGGCGGGGGGTGGCGAGGGACCGATCGACTCCGGGCGCACCCACCCCGTCGGCTTCCCCGGGGGAGGCGGGGGCAGGAAGCGAGGGCTGGGCCGCGCCAGGGGCAGTAAACAGGGGCGGGGGAAGTGGGGCTGCGCGGGGGGGCGTGCAGCTGCTTTGGCCGCTGCCTCGGGGCGCCCCAGAAGGAAGTGAGCGGCCGCCCCGCCAGCTTGGCCCTGACCCGGGCGGTCCCCTCCCCACAGGGCTCGTCGCACCTACCCCAGCAACTCAAATTCACCACCTCGGACTCCTGCGACCGCATCAAAGACGAGTTTCAGCTGCTTCAGGCTCAGTACCACAGGTGAGCAGGGGGCGCAGGTCCCTGCCCAGCGCAGATGGCAAGAAGGAAGCCTGAAGTGGAGGTGGTGGGCCTCGCTGTATACAAACACTTGGAAAAATGTAGGTGTAGAGTGTCCTGTTGTATGGAATCGCTGTCCTAGGCACTTACCAATATTAAATGCACTTATATTAAGAGCAGCCCATTTTACAGGTAAGAAAACGGAGGCACAAAATTAAATCATTTGCCCAGTCTCAGCTGTATGGCTTCAGAACCCTGCTCCCCACCTCACCCCACCCCAGTCCCCACTGGATTTAAAACCTTGCAACAACTGGAGTTGGGGGTGGACCCCCACCTCCCAAAAGAAAAAATAATGAAAAAATTTTGCAGCTTGTTATCCCTGCCCAGTTCTGGGGAAAGGATTCCTGGCATCCAACAGATTGTTTCATTCTCCTTCCAGAATTTAATCCTCTAACATTTGCCATGTGCTGGGATCTAAGGGGAAGAAACTATTATCTGCATCTTACCCTTGAGAAACCAGGCCCAGAGAGCTTAGGGATATCTAGGGGAAGGAAGCACAGCAAGGAAGTGGCAGAACTGAGATTTACACCCAATTTCTGGGTTGAAGAATGCAAATTCTCAGTGGCTTTGTTATAGAGAAGAGCTTTGCCTGGGAATCAGAAGGTGATCCCTGGCCACTGATTTCATCTAGGTCTTGCGCCCTCTCAAGACCTCAGTTTTGTTGTTTTTTTTGGTACATGCCCCTAGTGGGAACCCAACCCGGGACTCTCTGGTCTGCAGGCCGACGCTCCAACTGCTGAGCCAAACTGGCCAGGGCAAGACCTCAGTTTACATGCACAAAAGGATCCTGGGTTTTCTGCAAGAAGAAAGGGGGGAATTACTGACATATATTCTTTTTTTCTTTTTTTTATTAACAAACATCCAACCTCTTGGGGTATGTCCCATGCTCCCAAAGTGTTAAATATTGAATATACATCCTTTTATTTAATCTCTCTTGTTTTATTATGCCCATATCAAAGAGAAGAAAACTGAGGCATGATGGTTGAAGGGCAGGTCTAGTACCTTTGTTCTGGTCTTATGATGTGGAGAGTTTAGGGGCTTTGTCTACCAGGCCTGGCCTTTCTGAGTCCCTGCTGGGGGTCCTCCCCCCCTGTCTGGCCCATACCCACCTCACAGTGAGCACTAGGACTGCCAGTCCCTGAAACCAAGAGTCACAGTGCTACTACAGTGCTGTGTCCTGGGCTTCCCATTATACAATGAGGGGGTCTTACCATGTTGGCACACAGGATCTGCAAGGTCCTCGAGAAGGGCCAGAAATCCAGAATTTGGATAAAATTGCCTGTGGGTTTTTTGTTGTTGTTTTTTGTTTGTTTGTTTTTATAGAGAGAGAGAGACAAAGAGAGTATCAATTTGTTCCACGTATTTGTGCATTCTTTGGTTGATTCTTATATGTACCCTGACTGGGGATTGAAACCCACAACCTTGGCATACAGGTACCGTGCTCTGATCAATTGAGCTACCAGGCCAGGGCTGCCTTTTTGTTTGTTTGTTATCCTCATCCGAGGACATTTTTCCATTTTTTGTTCAGATAGAGTAGGCGGGAGAGAGAGGAAGAGAAAGAGAGAGAGAAACATCGACGTAAAAGGGACACATCAAGTGGCTGCCACCCACACAACCCAACCAGGGCTGAGGACAAACTGCAACCCAGGTACGTGCCCTTAGCGGGAACCGAACCTGGGTCTCTCTGGACCACAGGTCGATGTTCTAACCACTGAGCAACTGGCCAGGGCTGTTTGTTTTCTAATGGTGGCAACAAATGAACTTTTTTTTTTTTTTTTCAATCTGAGAAAACAAACTCAAGGAGGGTCACAACAATGTAAGCCATGGCTCATCTCTGAACTGGGGTGTGCAGTTATGGTCAGTCTGGCAGAGTGAAACACTGGGTTCCTGGGATGACCATGAGATCAACAAGCATTTATTGGATGTTTAAAGTATGCCAGACATTATTCTGAGAACATTTCTGGTTTTAATCCATTTTATTCTCATTACTCGGCCAGGGGAGGTACTTTAACAGGCACAGAGACCTAGGCCCAGAGAGGTAGAAGGGTTTGCTCAGAGTCGCACAGCATCCAAATTGTAGGGCTGAACTTTGAGCCTAGTCTGTCTGGATTGAGTCTGTACTGTCAGCCTCTCTACATGAGGCCCTGATGGGAGGCTGCTTTAAGAAATGTCTGCAGTTCCTCCTTTGGGGGGGAGAGAGTTGTCACCGTCTATTGTTACCCAACAGTGGAACTTTTACCCCCTAGTGAAATTAGGGCCATAAGAGGGGCTGGGCTCCACTGGAGATTCCTTGGTGAGTCCAACTCAGAGCCCTATCAGCCAGCCCCTGGCCCTTTCCTGGGCCCCTTTACAGTTTCTATGTGTCCCTCCCCCTTCTTGGAGAGTTGTCCCCAGTGGCTGAGAGTGTGGCTGAGAGCCAGCTTCCTGGCTGTGTGACCTTGAGCCAGTTATTCAACCTCTCTGGGCATCCATTGCATCATCTGTAAAATGAGTGATGCTCATAGTACTGACCTCATTGGATTTTGAGATAAGTAAAAGGTTGTTTGAATCCCTGGCTGACCCACAGTTAGGGCGTTTGCTCTGACTTGTTATGTTTATTATCATCGTTGTTTTCTTCACCACCAGATCTGCAAGGCTGGTTTCCTAATCCCCATTTTACAGTTAGGGAACTTGAGGCACCCCCCCATCCCATTCTCACAAAGGAGTTCATGTTTGTCCCCTGTCAAAGTTTGGGGCTCAGCTGAGCTCCCACCCCCTCTCCCCATGTTCTTTTTCAGCCTGAAGCTCGAATGTGACAAGCTGGCCAGTGAGAAGTCGGAGATGCAGCGTCATTATGTGATGGTGAGCTGGCTGAGGTCCAATGGGTGGGGATGGGGGGGACCCCAGACCGTCCTCCACCAGCAGCAGCTGCTGCCCAAAAACCCTGGCCACCTCCTCTGGGAAGTGTAAGGACTCAGGGTCCACCTTGCTGCCCTGGCTGCTGGCCCAGGTAGTGGTGGAGTTGCCAAACCACCGGGTTGCAGCCTGGGCCTGCCAGGTCTCCTGGCTGTCCTTGGCAGCCAGCAGAGGAGGCAGTGGTTGTGGAAGCCAGGAACTGACGTGGGGGAGCAGCCGGATCCCCGCCCCCACCATCCAGGCATCCCAGTACTTAACCCCTCCTCTCCCAAGCTTTGGGAAGAGGACCCTGGGCTTTCCCCCTCTGCTCCCCAGGAGGCTGACACCCTTTGAGGTTGGTGGGAGGGAGGGGGTAACAAAGCATTCTTTGGGCTGACATTTGAGACCCTGCCCATCCACACTGCCAGAATCACTTGCTGTTTCATACCCACCAGGTGGCGAGTTCTGCATCAAAAACCCTTGATTTGGCCCAGCCTCTAGCCCAGCTCTCCCAGGCTGTTGGGGAGGCAGAGCCAGGCACTGAAGCTCCCAGCTCCAGAGGGAGGGGGCTGGGCAGAGAGGGACCCAGCAGGGATTGGGGGACTCCAGAGGGGAGCCACTGCCTGAGGAAGGCTGCTTGGAGAATGGGGAGCATTACCCCTGGGGTCTTGAAGAATGTGTAGGAGCTTGTGGGTTTGGGGATGGGATGAGGGAGGGGGGACAGTGACCAAGCAAAGGCCTAGGAACCACTTGGCTTTGGTGGGGGTGGCAATGATAGGAAGCCATGAGAGGTTTTAGAACAGGGGAGGGGGCAGGGTTAGATCTGGGGCGTGGGGAGGGGGACTGCTGGCTCCAGAGCCAAACCCAGCAGGCTTTGTTTATCTTCCATTATTTATACCCAGGAAGGCAAACTTCCCTGCAGTCTGGGGCCACCCGCAGACAAGACACATAAAGATAAAAGATTAGGAGCCCTGGAATGTGTGTGTGTTGGGGGAGGTGGGGCTGGATAATTATTTCAGAAACTAGGGAGCCAGGCTGGGGCTAAGGCCCTAGAACTCCCCCACTCTATAAACAGCCCCACCAGGCACCTGGGCCCATTCCTGTTGTGGGTGTCTCCCCCTTCTATCTCCCTCCCACCTGCCTCTCTCCATCACTCCCTGCTCCAGACCCTTTTCTGCCTCCCCTTTGTTTCTCTCTCTCACCCCATCTCTTTGTCTTGACCCACCCCATCCTTCACTGGCTCCCATTTCTTTCTCTTTGTCTCCCCTCATGCAGTACTACGAGATGTCCTATGGCTTGAACATTGAGATGCACAAGCAGGTACGCCCTCTCACTCTGTCCATGGCACCCCCCAGGCAGGTAGGAGCTCGCCCCTTGGCTGAACACCAAGTCTGCCTTCATGATCTGATCTTGTTCCCTCCCAAGCACCCCATACTTTCTCAGGTCTCCCTGGGAGGTTGTTCTGCCTGAGGAGGAGGGGAAGAGGCTTTCCCTAGATCTGCCACCCCCACCCCATTGTCTCCCCTTTGTGACAGTGGCAGGAGGGTGACATGTACACACACTCCCACAGTTGGTGAGACCCTAGGATTGCGTCTCACCCTCTGGCCTTGCTTTAGCCACCTTTGCCCTGAAGAGGCCATTATCAAGGATGTCACAGAATAATGATGCCACTGCCCCCATCCTCCCATGGAGTGCTCACTACCTACTAGGCGCTGGGTATCATCTTCCCAGGACCACCCAGACCCTGAGTGGCCCAGTCTGGATCTGGGACTGGATCCTGTACAATTATCTGCAGGGCTGAGCGCCAGCCTCAGATCCTGCCTTTGCCACTAATTGGAGGGCTGTGGGCCCTGTGTGTCGATCCCACCCTGGGCTGAGCTGATCCCTCTTAGACAGAACCCCAGGCCTCGGGCTGGTCTGCACCTGTGCCTGCAAGGGGACTGGGGACTGAAGAGTCTGTGTGTTTGTTCTAGGCTGAAATTGTCAAGAGGCTGAACGGGATCTGTGCCCAGGTCCTTCCCTACCTTTCCCAAGAGGTAAGCAATGCCCCCGGGGGCTTCAGAGAGCAGGAGGTAGATGGCCCATGAACTTGCTCCCAGCCCTCCCTACTGTAGTCATCTGGGGCAGCAGTGATCTGGGTGCCCCCAGGCACATGCCTCCCCTCTCTGGACCTCCCAGCTACTAGCCAGCCTGTGCAATAGAATCCCCAGGCTGGAGAACCCCAAGGGGTGCAGGGCAGTGGAAGGAAGGGCCTCACCCTGCTGTGGAATTCCTAGCCTGAGTAAGTCATTTCACTATACAAATGTCAGCTATGCTAAGGGCTGCATCAAGAATTTTTTTCTTTGTTTTGCTTCCACCTTTCACCCTACTGAGATTCACCTGCCAGGCCCTGTGGGCTGCTTCGGGCCAGAGACCAGGGGAAGGCACTCTGCACACATGAAGACATACAGAGACAGATAAACTTAGATGTAACACACACATGTACACAGACATGCACAGACACAGATATGGACACGGATACAGGTATTTAAGCAGACCAGCTACATGCAGACACAGATGGACACATGGACGCGAACACACACTTGGGAACCAGGCGTCCAGCTCTTCCTCTTCTGCTTTTTGGGTTTCTCAGACTTCGGTGTAAGGCCCACTCCACACAGGCCCTGTACCTGCACCCCACCTAACTGTAAGGCCCAGCTCCTGCTCTCTGCCAGGCTTACTGTTGATGATTCATCATTTCCTCTTTAATCCCTACCCATATCTCAGGGACCTGTGGGTGGTGTGTGTGCCTAGGGACCATTCCAGAAAGACACCATGAAAATACCAGAGGAGAGGGTTCTGGGGGCCCTGCAGACTTAGATTTGTGCTTACCTTTCAAGATGGGGTCTTCCCAGCAGCCAAGGCAGAAAGGAAGATGGCAGTATCTGATAGCAGGACAGATTGACTTTCAAGGATGGGTGGGAAGATGTGGGAGATATTCCCTGAACCTAGACTTATACCCCAGCCCTATCAGAATTCACTGGGCCTTCCCCAGCTGTGGAAGGACAGGAGCTCGGATTAGCAGATCTCACAGCTTAGTCTCTGAGGTCTTAAAGGAACAAGACTTTCCTGTGCAGTTGACCAGGTGTACACTGCAGTTTTCTTTGCACATGGCATCGGATCGGTCACCATCCAAGGTTTCTCTCCTACTCACCCAAAGGCTTTTTCCTAAGTGTCTGGCCCCAACCCCTTAGGGTCTTCTACGCATCTCCATTTATCTCCATTTTCCAGATGAAGAGACTGAGGCTTGGTGAAAAGAAGCAGCTGGAGATGGGGCTTTCTGGTGGGATAGGAAGCCATGGGAGTTGGGGGATAGCACTAACAGGCCAGATGGGAGTGGGGCTTCTCCTGGGCTCTGACACAAACCCCCTGTGTCCTCTCTCCTTCCAGCACCAGCAGCAAGTCTTGGGAGCCATCGAGAGAGCTAAGCAGGTCACAGCTCCAGAGCTGAACTCCATCATCCGAGTAAGTCTGGGGTCTGGGGTGGGCGGGAGGACAGCAGGTGGCGAGTGGGCCGGAAGTGGTTAACATTCCCCCCTCCCTCTGCCCTGCAGCAGCAGCTCCAAGCCCACCAGCTGTCCCAGCTGCAGGCTCTGGCCCTGCCCCTGACCCCACTGCCCGTGGGGCTGCAGCCACCTTCACTGCCTGCAGTCAGCGCGGGCACTGGCCTCCTCTCCCTGTCTGCGCTGGGCTCCCAGGCCCACCTCTCCAAGGAAGACAAGAATGGGCATGACGGTGACACCCACCAGGAGGATGATGGCGAGAAGTCGGATTAGCTGGTGGCCGAGATGGGGAGGGTGGGGGGACAAAGGAGACAAGATACACAGAGAGAGGAATGTTCACCACAGACAGTATAGCTCGGGATTGGCTAAACTCCGGTAGTATTTATGGTAGCTGCTGGGGCCTTAGCCCTGCTTGTGTGCCACCCCATAGCTTTGCTCTGGCTCCCAGCCTCCCCCCTCCTCCCCCCGCAGCCTGAATGGGTCAATACCTGCTTATACCACAGATAAGGCAAGCTGAGGCCTGGAGACGCAAATGGGAGGCCAGGTCAGAAAGGAGCAAAACCTCAAGAAGTCTAACACCCCCTGCACTTCCCCATATCGCACATGTGTAACTGACAGTCTGCCCGCTGGGCCCCCTCAGGGCACACCCTAGCCTCCCACCCTGGCACTGCATGCAAACACAATGCTAGCTGCCCCCTCCTGTCCTGGGCACCTGTCTCCCTCCACCTCCCACCCACTCACCTCTGCTAGTTCCAGATGCCCATGCCCACCTGGTCCTCTCTCCTCGCCCACCAAGGAACGAAAGTTCAGCTGGGATGAGCAGGGTGGGGGGTGGGTGACCCAAGATTCCCCTTCTTCCTTTCCCGAATAAAGATGAGGGTACTCGAGTTGTCTTGGTTTTTATTTTATTTTCTTTTTCTTTTTCCAGTATACTAGCTTGTCTTTTAAGAAAGGGAATATTAAAAAAAAAAAGAAAGAAAAGTGTTTAAAAAAAAAAGCAACACCCACACCTGTGTCTGTATATAGCCTTTTAGACTGTCAGCTTTTGTTGTGTTCAGTCGTTTGAACTCTGCAGAGAAGTGAAAATGCTGTATCGAGGGTGGGCTTAGCTGTGCCTTTCAAATAAAGATGTGAGAAGGTTGGTTGCTGTGTTCCTGCCTCTGTGTTGCGGGCTGCCTGTGGTTTCCCCCTTCCCAGGGAGGAGAGGACTTCTTTCATGTCTGGGTTCCCTCCTCTGTCACAGGACCAAATATTGAGAGTCCTAGATGAGTCCATTTTGTAAGTGTACTCTATCTCCAGAGCTTGATGCATAGACCAGGGAGGGTTAGCTGGACGCTACAGGTCATGCAGCCAGCCCAGTTGCTGGAGGTTTAGCAGAGCTGGTTTCTGAGCAGCAAGCTAGCGAGCCCCTAAGTGACATTCTTTTCCCTTAGAGACATAAGATACTGAGACTGCAGAATCGGTGCCCACTGTGCACATGCACACATGGACCCTTTTCCAGATCAGAGAATGCAGACCCTCCAGCTGAACCTCGACCCTCTAAGAAACAGTTGCTTCCCCACAACACCGAAGCCGGACCACCACCGGGAGAGCCAAAAGGAGATTTCCTGATGTTTGCCTGCCTGAGTGGGCATGGGGGTGGGAGGGCCGGCAGCCATCCTGACTTTGCAAGATCTTTGCAAGGGCTGTATGGCACAGAAATCCGGCCCTCAGGGACCTGGAGCACCAAGAGGAATTTTTATTTTATTTTATTAAATTGAGAGAGAAACATCGATGTGAGAGAACATTGATGGTTGCCTTCCATACATGCCCACAACCTAGGTATGTGCCCTGAACAGGAATTGAACCCGCCACACTCTGGTGTGCAGGATGATGCTCCAACCAACACCAGCCAGGGCCCCAGGGGACTCTTTTTTTTTTTTTTTAACGTTTTTATTGATTTTTTTTTTTTAAGAGAGGAAGGGAGAGAGAGACAGAAACATCGATGGGAATGAAAACACCGATCGGCTGCCTCTTGCACGTCCCCCACTGGGGATCGAGCCTGCAACCCAGGCATGTGCCCTGACCAGGAATGGAACTGGTCTCAGTCCATGGGACAATGCTCAGTCCACTGAGCCACACCAGCCAGGCTCTTTTTTTTTTAAATCCTTAGGCTCTTTTTTTTTTTAATTCTTACCCAAGGCTATTTTTCTATTGATTTTTAGATAGAGTGGAAGGCAGGGAGGGAGAGAAGTATTGATGTGAGACACATCAATCGACTGGTTGCCTCCCACGCGACCCCAATCCATGCTGGGACTGAACCAGCAACCCAGGTACGTGCCCTTGACTGGGAATCAAACCCACGACCCTTTGGTCTGTAGGCCAAACCTCTAACCGCTGAGCCAAACCGGCCAGGGCCTAGGGGACTTCTCATCTGTCTCTCTAATCCAGTGGGTTCCCATGGGCAGGACCAAGGGCACAAAGAGGGACAAAGGGATGGGTGGTGATGGCCCACTGGCTTTAGGAAAAATGTTTGGTGCTAAGGAAAGGAAGAGATTGAGAGAGGAGAGAAGACTGGGTGGTCACACCAGCCTCCTGCTAAGTCCCACCTCTCTCCACTGTAGCCAAAGCACCTCTAAAAATCACCAATGTGGCTCAGTGGTTGAGCATCGATTCATGCACCAAGAGGTCGCAGGTTCGATTCCTAATCAGGACACATGCCCAGGTTGTGGGCCAAATCTCCAGTGGCAGGCATGCAGGAGGTCGCTAATTGATGTTTCTATCTCTTCCTCTCTCTCTAAAAAAATCAATAAAAATTTTTTTTTTTTAGTTTTTATAAAAATCGCCAGTGTGATGGGGTAACTCGTTGCTTCATATTTATCCTTGTGTTGAAAACCCTAACTCACCCCTTTTGGGGAGTAAAAATTGTTACATCTATTTCAGACGGCTGTTTGTCAATGCTTCTTTTGGACCCATCCCCCGGTAGACATACCACTTGAATCTGCCAAAAAAGACAAGAGTGTTCAGAACCTAATAGTTAGTCATCATTGCCCCAAACTGGAAACTACCAGATGTTCAGTAATAGCAGAACACATATACTGTGACAGAGTTGTGTCATGGAATATTACACAGCCATGAAAAGGTGCTACTGCTACATTCAACACCATGCAGTTCTCACACATAATGCTGAAAAAAATAAGTTGGGTACAGCCCTGACAGTTTTTCTCAGTGGTTAGAGCACTGGCCCTCAGACTGAAGGGTCTCAGGTTCAATTCCCAGTCCCAACTCAGACCCTGCGGGAGGCAACCAATTCATGTGTCTCTCTCCCATCAGAAAGGAAGGGTATGCTGGGCTGAAGATAAAAAAAAAAAAGCTGGGTACAAAAGAATAAATATGGTGTGATTCCATCTATAAAAAGAACAAAACCTCCCTGGCCGGTTTGGCTCAGCAGTAGAGCGTCGGCCTGTGGTCCAGAGAGACCTGGGTTTGGTTCCCGCTAAGGGCATGTACCTCGGTTGCAGTTTGTTCCTGGCCCTGGTTGAGTTGTGCAGGTGGCAACCACTCGATGTGTCCCTTTCACGTAGATGTTTCGCTCTCTCCCTCCCCACTCTATCTGAACAAAAAATGGAAAAATCCTCCTTGGGTGAGGATAAAAAATAAAAATAAAAAAAAAAGAACAAAACCAGGCCCAAATGACTTCACTGGGTTACCCTTGGGAGAGGGTAAGGATGAAGGCGATTTCTAACAGAGCTGGTCATGTTTGGTTTAACTTTGGGACTGATTACCTGAGTTTGTTCACTTTGAGATAATTCATCGAATTGTTCACTTACAATCTGTGTGCTCTTTTGTGTGTTATATTTCACAATTTAAAAACATTACTAGCCCTGGCCCGTTTGGCTCAGTGGTTGGAGCATTAGCCTGCAGACCAAAGAGTCTCAAGTTTGATTCCAGTCAAGGGCACACATACATTGGTTGTGGTTCAGTCCCTGGCTCGGTTGGGGGTTGTGTGGGAGGCAACCAATCGATGGATGTATCTCTCTCACATCAGTCTCTCTCTCTCTCTCTCTCTCTCTCTCTCTCTCTCTCTCTCCCTCCCCCCTCTCTCTGACCCTGTTCCACTCTATCTGAAAATAAATGGAAAAATGTCTTTGGTGAAGATTTTTTTTTAAATGGCAATTTTAAAAATTACTAAAAAATAGATTATCTTTGGCCTCCATAGCCCTCAAAGTACATTCTAAGTTCTTCACCCAGGCCCACCAGACCCTGCAAACCCTGCAAGAGATCCTCTTCAGCAAGCTGCAACCAGGTTGAAACATCTTGTTCTTTCTTGCCTAGAGGCCTTTGCACATATTGTTACCTCTGCCTGGAAAAAATAGTCTCTTTTTTACCCTCCCCAGAATTCTAATCCTCCAAGATCCCAGAAGTTACTTTTCTGCAGGCCTCCTACGGACCTACCCCAAAGTAGAAGAGTGACTCCACGCACCCCCCACCCCCTTGAAAAGTGCTTATAGCAGAGTCTGGCATAATCATCCATTCAGAGACCCAACTATGAGCCCCAGGGACACAGCAGGGAACAAAACAGACACAAATCCTTGCCCTCCTGGGTGGAATAAACAAATAAGGGAAATACAAAATGTATCAGGAGGCTTGTTGATAGAGAACAAAGCAGAAAAGGGATGAGGACTGTCAGTTGCATTTTTTTCTTTTTTTGAAATTTGCACATAGAAGCAACTCTGTACATGTTAGCAAATGTACTGAGGGCAGACCTGGGTGTGTACCCGCCTCCTACCCTAAGTAGTGATTTGAGGCATGAAGTCACTTGTCTGATCGCAGTTTCCGGGAGACTGTTGAGAGACTGTTAGCAGAAAGCTTGCAAGGGCTCACTAGCTGTCAGTGATTTTATCAGTGATATTGCCGGCTGATGAAGGGCACTGTGGGGGGTGGGGGACGAGGGTCACAAACTCAGCAGTCCCCACTCTAGTGTTTTCTCCAAGGAAAGTGGGGTCCTGCTCAGCCAAGGACAGGTCTGTGACCTCGGGTCTACCTCTGGACCTCGGAGCCCCCAATCGCCCCCATCCCGCCTGCGGAGTGGATCCCCTGGGGGTTTAGAGAGGGTCCCGGAGACCGCCGAGGCAGAGGGTGGGTGTGCGATCTCGGCTGGGAAGCCGGCTGAGCGGAGGTGCCATCTCCGGAGCTTCCTCCCCGCCGCGGCCTCCCGCGCTTAACGACGCGCCGCCGGCGACCTCGGCTAATTGATCCGCTAATGGGCCCCGCGCCGCGGCCGCGCCTAATGAGGCGGGAGAAAGGGGAGGAGGGGGCGCTAGGAGAGGAGGAGGGAGGTTAGGGACTGGAGGAGAGGGAGAGGGGGAGAGAATGGAGGAGGGGGGTCAGGCAGGGATGAGGGGAGAGGAGGGAGAGAAGGGAACGGGTGGAGGGGGAGGGGAAGAGAATTGAGGAGAGGAGGGGAGTTAGGGGAAAAGGGGGGGAGAGGAGGGAGAAAGGAGGGGGAGGAGAGAAGAGAGGGGATGGAGGGGGATGGGGAAAGGAGGGAGGGAAAGGGGAATTAAAGGGAGAGAGAGTGTAGAGGGGGAGGGGCAGAGAACCTCGGGAAAGGAGCCAGGGGGAAGGGCGGTGGGGGAGCAATGCTCCCAGCTCCCTGGGCGCGAGACTTGAAGGGAGAAGAGCAGTGGGGACTGGGGTGAAGCCCTCCCTTTCTGACTACTCGGACCCCCACTCTCAGATCCCCTCACCTCTTGAAGGCTCCTCCCCTTATCTGACCTCTCCTTTCTCCCAGCCTCCTCCCCTTTTCCAAGGGTCTTACCTGCAAGCGATCTGAGTATATAAAGGGTGTGAGGGACCTAGCTATCTCTGTGCCTCGATTTTCCTGTCCATACAATGGTTCTAATGTCATCAGAGTTGGAGAATCCCACAGGTCCCAGTGGCCTGAGACTAACCCAGCCCCTGTCCCCACATACCACTCGTAGTGTGTGTGTGTGTGTGGGGGGCTGAGAGTACCCCGACCCCCAGAGCCAGGCCCACTGCCTCCTCGTTTGGCCCCTGGGGTACAACTGGGGCGGAAGGACTGCTGGACTCCCCAGCCTCGTAGAAAAACACCCTTGGAATATAAACTGGGATGTGACACATTAAAAGTTCACAGTCCAGG